GTAAAGACTAGATAAGTGGATCTAATATATAGCACCAGGCTTTTAGGTTTTTGCTTAGTCATTCTTCCTTAACTATTTTTTTTCCTTTAAGTGATTTCCTTCCAGTCTGTTTAATGCTGGAAATTGTTAGGTACAGAGAAGCTTCCCATAGACAGCTCCATGTCCCATTTTGAGAAACCAGCTCAAGCTACTTCCTGCTTTGGTCATTAAAAAAAATAATAGCTGTTATTTGCACAGTAATCAGACTTCCATGAAGAAATGCTGTGTACATTAAATCTAAGTCATGATGTTGTTATAATCACTAATATTTGAATAACAAGGTTGTGATCTTGTTCATCTCCAAAAAAATCTAATGTTGCTGAGCATAGTTGTAGCAGGTGGGGAGGCTGTGCTTTCAGAAAGCAAAGGTTGAAATTCATACCCTGTGTGCTCTTGAAATTGTTATGAATGACTAATCAGTATTTCATGGGCCCTAACACAGTTGAAATGGTTGTCCAGGAAGGTATATGTGAAGAAGTTAATTCACTCAAAAGCCGATTTAAAGGACTCTCAGGGAAACCTCAGTGATATTCAATGCCACATGGGGGAGAACTGAAAAATTTCAAGTTCGCCCAGGTTACAGGCTCTTGCATCAGGGTAAAATCTTAAGCTGATTCATGTTTCCTTCTGAAATCTAAGGCTTTAGTCAGTTAGTGATCCTCTTTTCTTACTTTTATCTCATTTTTGATGGCCTAATCTTCAATTATGGGTAGTACTGTGGCCATCAGAAAGAGACTCATTCATTCCAAAACATACAGAGAAGAGCTCTTTATCTCCAGGAGGCCCAGGTTTGAGATATAATCCTTGCTCAAGGGGTTTAAAGAGCTTACAACTGAGTGGTAGAAATATGAAGTAGAAAATATTTATCAAAGATTTCACACTCTGAAATGAGCATGGAGTGCAGGCATCTCTTCAAGATGCCAGTTTCAGTTCATTTGCATGAATGCACAGAAGTAGCATATATATGGACATTATCACAGTGGTAATTCTCTTTTTGGTTTTTTGAGGACTCTCTATTTTCCAAATTCAATGTACTTAATTCCCCCCCCCTTTTTTTTAAGACAAGGTTTTGCTATGTAGTTCAGGCTGGCTTTGAACTCCACATTTGTGGAGATCCTCTGCCTCTGCCTTCTGAGTGCTGGGATTACAGTTGTGGGTCACCAAGCCTAGCCATTCATCTTTTTGATAATATTCCAAGAGGTATGAGGAGGTACTTTATTGTGGTTTTAACTTATATTTTCCTGATGATTAGTGATGTTGAGCACCTTTTCATATACCTATTTGCTTCTGTACATGTTCTTTGGAAAACTGTCTATTCAGCTCCTTTTTCCATATTTTACTCAGGTTGTTATTGTTATTTGCTATTGAGTTATTTGAGTTCTTTATACTCCCATGTTTATTTTAGCATTATTCATAATATCTAGGAGCAATCTAAGTGTCCCTCAGTAGATGAACAGATAAAGAAAATATAGCACACATGTCAGTACACACATACCCACACACAGAAGGGAATTCGATGATTCATGATAACACAGATGTAACTAGAGAATGTTATGCTAAGTGAAATAACCAAGTACACACAGAAAGAAAGACTGTATGATCTCACTTGTGGGATGTTTTAAAAAGCTCATGGCATCATTAGAAAGGTGGTTACCAGAGGCTAGTGGAAGTGGAAGAAGGTAAGAAAGGAGAGATGTTGGCCAAAGGGTATAAAGTTATAGTTAGATTGGAGGAATAAGCTTTAGCGATCTATGGCATTGTGTGGACAATGCAGTTAATAATATATTGTGGCCAGGTGTGATGGCATACCCTTTAATCTCAGCACTCAGGAGGCAGAGCCAGGCAGATCTCTGTGATTTCAAGGCCAGCCTGGTCTACATAGAAAATTTCAGGCCAGGTGGGGCTACAGGGAGACCCTGTCTCAAAAAGACTATATATATATATATATATTCTTAAAAATAAGTTGGTGTGGGGCTGGAGAGATGGCTCAGCAGTTAAGAACACTGGCTGCTCATTCAGAGGACCCAAGTTGGGCTCCCAGCACCCACATAGCAATGCTAACAATTGCTCTAGTTCCAGGACATTGGATGCCCTCTTCTGATCTCCGTGGACACAGAATGACACAGGTGCACTTACACACATGCAGGCAATCTACTCATTCATTGGTGAGATGATGAAAATATTAGTTTGATCTGATCTTCCTATAATGTATATAAGGATCAAAACATCACATTGTACTGCATGAATACTATTTATCGATGAATTAAAACTAAGAATAAAAAGATAATATGACAAGTTCCATGGGTATCCTTCACACACAGGAACTAGGCCTTATGCATCCTCATACTTTCAAAGTCAAGCTCAATTTTGCACAAAGTTTATTCAATTGAAACGTACCTGCAGTCTGAAACTGTGTGAAAAGGAAATTAGGAAGACCAGTTAGAAAAGGTGACCTGGGTGTGATCCTAGAAAAGATAAGAAGGATCTAGAATATAGGTATAGAGAAATCCATTCCAGGTAGTCAAGGAGGCCATATTATATTTGTATGCATATGAGGCATATTATAGATAACAGGCTCTCAAGGCCCTCAGATGTACTGGTGACTTTTTACTAAAAGTCAGTCCACTTGGCAGTGATGAGCAGACTATAGGCTTCCCAATAAGATACATCAGAATTTAAATTTTATCTCTATTGTTTTATAAATGTAAATAATACTTTTATTTTTTTGGTCTTTTTGAGACAGGGTCTCACTGTAGCCCCAGCTGACCTGGAACTTGCTATGTAGAACAGGCTGGCCTCTAAATCAGAGATCCGCCTGTCTCTGCCTCCCAAGTGCTGGGATTAATGGCGTGCGCCATGACGCCCGGCTGTAAATAATACTTTAAAAAATATTTTATTATTTTTATTTTAATGTGTATGAGTGTATTGCCTGCAGTATGTGAGTGTACCCGTGTCGTACAATGCCACGGAGGTCAGAAGAGGGCTTCGGATTCCCCTGGAACTGGAGTTAAGGACGGTTCGTAGCCGCCATGTGGGTGCTGGGAATCGAAGCCCTGTCCTCTGCAAGAGCAGTCAGTGCTCTTAACCGCTGAGCCATCTCTCCAGCCCCAATAATGTAAATAATACTTTGTATGCCTATTTTCCCAGTTAGAAAGTAGAGATAATACTTCTTTAAATGATAGCTTTTCAGGGTTTAAGAGATGGCTCAGCGGTTAAGAGCACTGGTTGCTCTTGTAGAGGACCCGGAACCCACAAGGCGTAGCGCTGTGAAGCGTCCTTACCTCCAGTTCTAGGGGAATCCGTTGCTCTCTTTTGACCTCTGTGGCATTGCACGACACGGGACACGGGTGCACTCACATACATGCAGGCAATACACTCATACACATAAAAAAATATTTTAAAAATGATAGCTTTTCGAAACGTAGCAAAGAAAAAGAGGTAATATGAATTACTTCTATTTTTTTTTTGTGTGGTGCTGATTATAGAACACAGGGCCTGACCTCACAGTATGTGCTGTACCATTGAGCTGTATCCCAGCTCTAAATATTTCAAGTTTTAATGTACAAGCTAATGAAAAGCTTCCAGCAGTTTCACCATATTTTCTCCTCTTCTTCTTCTTCTTCTTGCCCCCCTCCC